CTCCGCGGCACGTGGGATCTTCCCGGACCGGGGCACGAACCCGCGTCGCCTGCATCGGCAGGCGGACTCCCAACCACTGTGCCACCAGGGAAGCACAAGTGACTGTTTTTGATATCAGAAAATGAAGAGGAAAGACTTTGTTTGGAACTCAGAATGGAATTCTGAATCGGCAGATTCACGTGATTCCGGCATCCAGCGTCCGGTAGAACTTGTGTGGGCCTGACTGGAGTAGCCCCTTTGTGGCTGAGATACTGTACAGCCTGTTAATCAGATCATTGTTTGACCTGGGTTTTTGTTTGTTTTTTCCCCAGTGTTTTTGATTCATTCACTGAATTCATTGTTCATTTTTCTCTTTGAAAGAGAAATTGTTGGCCTTGATGATAATATGCCAGGTATGCTTTGTACACGTAAAAGTAATATTAACAAGAATAATGATTTTGCAGAAAACCATCATGGCCACGTGCCTCGTGGTCCAGGTTCTGCAGCCTGTGGCCCACTGGTCAGTGAGCCGCGCACGGCCTGGCAGGTTGCAGGACGGTCCCGTCTCTCCCACATGTGTGTGTAACACTGAAAGCAGTCTGTCAAGGCACTGCCTCATCTCATGCAGTTCTTGTTTTGAACACCTCAGCTCATCGCAGAATTTGAATTGGGAGAGTTTAGCTTTGAAACGTGGCATCTTTTGTATCGTTCAGACTTTGAAAACTACTTGTTCCCTGCAGGCTCCTCTAGTCTGTGAAAGCGCTTAGAGATAAGGGCACGTGGGTTTTCTTTCAGATTATTTGTAGTGTTTAACTCTCAACTGGATTGCCGCCACGACTTCAAAGTGAAACAGTTTAAAATGAAAACTGTCACTGAATAAATCGCACCTCGCGTGCCCGCGGTGTTTGACAGCAGCTGACGCTGCGGACTGTTGTCCATTTTTTGAAGATTTGAGCTTGCCCAGCAGCTCCGGCAGCACCAGCAGGCCTGCCCGATAGACGACGGCGCCGTGGACCAGCAGGGCATGCACGTGCCCACCCAGGTGCAGGTGGAGATTGAGAACGCCGCGCTGCAGCCGACCGCTGAGGCCGTGGCCGACAACCCCGGGGCTGTGCTGGACCTGGGCCCTCCCGCCGGCGTGGAGGCGGGGCTCGGCCAGCAGATGGCGGGTCAGCCTTTGGAAGCAGATGAAGGTGAGCGGTTCAGGGCTTTTAACTCTCAGGAGTTTTGCAGCCCTTCGTACTCCAGCCCCCGCTGGCCCTCTCATCTCTGACCTTTTAAAGCGCAGTTTGTGCCGTGTGTCTGAGCGTGAGAGAGTCTGCGGTGCATTTAGAATGGTAGAAATGGGACCTTCCGATACGTGCTGCTTGTCACCCACTTTCACCCCTGAGCCTACCGCGAGAGAGTCTTTGGTTTCCACTGAGTGCCCACCTGCGTGATCATGCGTGTCCTGGTGCGTGCCTCCCGGACTTCCCAGCGGAGGCCGTGGACTGGGTGCCGCTGGCTGCGGGAGCTGAGGCCCCTTGGCCAGCGCGCTGCCTCCTGCGGGGAGGTCTCGCCGCAGAAAGAGGCCGGCTCACCGGGGGAACAGTGAGCTCAGTGACAAGAGTCGGCTCAGGCTTCCGGCCTCCTGCGGGCCTGACAAATGGTTGGCCGGTCAGCTTGCTGTTTACTTTATGGGCGTCCCAAGAAGTATTTGGTCTGTGAGCAGGGTTTTGTACTTTTTAGCCAACATATGTAAGTTTGTACCCTCTGTATGAATTGTCTTCCTACTGTCTTTTCCAAACAAGGAGGCTGCTTTTTGGAAACTCACTGAAGCATCCTTTTGGACAGGTTGGTAGATGTGAAGCAGCTTCCGGGTTTACGAATTTTCCGCCCTCGTCTGTGCTTCTTGTCTTCAGACAGGCTTGTGGTCCCGCAGCACACTCTGGAAGGGCACGTGGGCCAGTACGAGGAGCAGGCTCCCCCGCCGCAGCCCTTCGAGCCAGCGGGTCTGTCACAGGGTCAGTGGTGGGCCTTACCCGGGGCTCTCCAGTGAGCTGCGCCTGGTTGGGGTTAACTTTACAGCAAGCTTGAGTGTTTCCTTTAGTGCTCTTCTGAAATTTATGACCAGTTATCGAGCCAGATAACGTCTTGCGTGGGTAGCGTGTGCGTGAGTGTACACATGCACACACACGCTATTTTGTAGTCTGTTCAGATTTTCCAGAAAGGGACTTTAATGACCATTCTACACCTGGTCTCTAGCCAAGGAAAGGTAATTGAGTAGAAATTGGGACTTATTTGTGGCTGGTGTGTCAGCCTGCCCTGCAAGGATGGGAGCTGAGCGTAGCCTCTTGCCTGTGAGCAGATCACTTTAGAGCCTGCTGATAAAAACTAATAATCCTGATTCCCGTTCAGAAAGTAGACATGTTCCTTTAAATACCTTTATTTGTAAAACCAACCTTTTTTGGTTTTGTGTGTGTGTGTGTAACTTTAGTATTTTTTGTAGAACTCATGTCTTCTAATTTATTTCAGGTTTTACAGTGACTGATACATACAATCAACAGACTCAGTTTCCACCCGTCCAACAGTTACAAGATTCTAGCACACTGGAGTCTCAAGCCCTGTCCACGAGCTTCCATCAGCAGAACTTACTTCCGGTTCCTAGCTCTGATACGATTAGTGTAGTGAGTATTGCAGAAGTCTCATCATTGAGCAGATTCTGTCTTATTCTTCCCTGTAATTATTTAAAATTTGCTTACTTAAGAGGGCATGCTAACTTGTTGCAACTTTAAGATTGCTGCATCACCTGTGAAAACCTCAGTGTTTATCATATAGGGCTTCTATTCCCTTAAAACATTTTTGTTTTAAGATTTCATTCCCATGATGTGGCTTTACCTTTTCGGTTAAAAGTCAGGAAAGTCAGGAGAATGTAACTGACCAGTAACATCTGAAGGATGTCTCCTTGCTTTAGCGAGAAAACCAAAGCATTTTAATATGTGGAATCTTAAAGAAACATGTTAGAATGAAAATATAATGAAGGCTGACATACTAAAGATACATATTTAAATGCATCATTTAAAATTTCCATCTCTTAGTCAAGTTGGAGGCATTTAAGTTTTTGTTTTGGTATTGATTTTGCCATTCTTGGAAATCTTTCAGTAGTGGTGAAAATGATTGGCAAATCAATTGTTTTCTCTCTCTCTCTCTTTTTTTTTTCCCTTTTTTTTTTTTGCGGTACGCGGGCCTCTCACTGTCGTGGCCTCTCCCATTGCGGAGCACAGGCTCCGGACACGTAGGCTCAGCGGCCATGGCTCATGGGCCTAGCCGCTCCGCGGCATGTGGGATCTTCCCAGACCGGGGCACGAACCCGTGTCCCCTGCATCGGCAGGCGGACTCTCAACCACTGCGCCACCAGGGAAGCCCTCTATCTCTTTTCTTTAATATTTACTTTTTTAATTTTTGGGGGGGCTGCGTTGGGTCCTCGTTGCTGCGCGCAGGCTTTCTCTGGTTGTGGCGAGCGGGGGCTACTCTTGGTTGCGGTGGCGGGCTTCTCATGGCGGTGGCTTCTCTTGTTGCAGAGCACGGGCTCTAGGCGCGTGGGCTTCAGTAGTTGTGGCACACAGGGCTTAGTTGCTCCGCGGCATGTGCGATCTTCCCAGACCAAGGCTCGAACCCGTGTCCCCTGCGTTTGCAGGCAGAATTTTTAACCACTGCTCCACCAGGGAAATCCTTACTTTCTCTCTTTAAAAGCCCCTGTGGGTAACTTTTGCCAAGTGGAGGACCTGGACCCTCCGATGAAATTTTCAGAGCACGTTTTCCCAGCTCGAAGCTGCGTAATTGACAGTAGGCGCTGAATCTGGGTGGTGGGGGGCATGTCTCTCTGTGGCCTGCCTTCACTCGGCCCTCTGAGCAAGACTGCACACCCGCTCACTCGTGGCTTTTCGGGGCGGGTCCTGGAAGCCAGGGGAAACGCGTGCACGCAGGCAGGTTCTCCACTGTTCTGGCCTCTCCTGCGCCTGTCCCCCACGTCCTGAAGGTCAGCCTGCGCTCTGTCTGCTGAACATGGGTGTTTCCTGCAGATCTTTGCCCAGTCCCTGGGCTGTACCACCTGTGGCCAGAAGGTGTCGAGTTAAGGGGCTGCTGTCTCCAGGCCTGCTGCTTCTGGGCTGGGAACATGCTTTCTCCCCCTGTGATTTTGTGACAAGCGAGGGGACTTAGTATTTTAAGAAGGCAGGGCGTTTTGTTCACTCTCAGTAAGAGTAGAGCAGATGAAAGAGTAGTCTCTTAATAGACATAAAAAATATGGAACGATTGGGCTTCCCTGGTGGCGCAGTGGTTGAGAGTCCGCCTGCCGATGCAGGGGACGTGGGTTCGTGGCCCGGTCCGGGAAGATCCCACATGCTGCAAAGCGGCTGGGCCTGTGAGCTATGGCTGCTGAGCCTGCACGTCCGGAGCCTGTCAGAACGGTGAGAGGCCTGCGTACCACCAAAAATTTAATTTTTGGGGGGGCTGCGTTGGGTCCTCGTTGCTGCGCGCAGGCTTTCTCTGGTTGTGGCGAGCGGGGGCTACTCTTGGTTGCGGTGGCGGGCTTCTCATGGCGGTGGCTTCTCTTGTTGCAGAGCACGGGCTCTAGGCGCGTGGGCTTCAGTAGTTGTGGCACACAGGGCTTAGTTGCTCCGCGGCATGTGCGATCTTCCCAGACCAAGGCTCGAACCCGTGTCCCCTGCGTTTGCAGGCAGAATTTTTAACCACTGCTCCACCAGGGAAATCCTTACTTTCTCTCTTTAAAAGCCCCTGTGGGTAACTTTTGCCAAGTGGAGGACCTGGACCCTCCGATGAAATTTTCAGAGCACGTTTTCCCAGCTCGAAGCTGCGTAATTGACAGTAGGCGCTGAATCTGGGTGGTGGGGGGCATGTCTCTCTGTGGCCTGCCTTCACTCGGCCCTCTGAGCAAGACTGCACACCCGCTCACTCGTGGCTTTTCGGGGCGGGTCCTGGAAGCCAGGGGAAACGCGTGCACGCAGGCAGGTTCTCCACTGTTCTGGCCTCTCCTGCGCCTGTCCCCCACGTCCTGAAGGTCAGCCTGCGCTCTGTCTGCTGAACATGGGTGTTTCCTGCAGATCTTTGCCCAGTCCCTGGGCTGTACCACCTGTGGCCAGAAGGTGTCGAGTTAAGGGGCTGCTGTCTCCAGGCCTGCTGCTTCTGGGCTGGGAACATGCTTTCTCCCCCTGTGATTTTGTGACAAGCGAGGGGACTTAGTATTTTAAGAAGGCAGGGCGTTTTGTTCACTCTCAGTAAGAGTAGAGCAGATGAAAGAGTAGTCTCTTAATAGACATAAAAAATATGGAACGATTGGGCTTCCCTGGTGGCGCAGTGGTTGAGAGTCCGCCTGCCGATGCAGGGGACGTGGGTTCGTGGCCCGGTCCGGGAAGATCCCACATGCTGCAAAGCGGCTGGGCCTGTGAGCTATGGCTGCTGAGCCTGCACGTCCGGAGCCTGTCAGAACGGTGAGAGGCCTGCGTACCCAAAAAAAAAAAAAAAAAAAAAAAGGAAAGATTAAAGCAAGTTAATGGAAAATAAAATAAGTATTTCTTCATTAAAATTGGTATAGATGATTTTTGTTATTAATTTGGCCCAAATGATTGCAACGACCTAATTGGGGTGTCTCCCTTTTAAATCCACATTTATGAGTGTTCTTATCCTTACTTGTTAGGTGTTTGTATTCATTCATAGATGTTCAAGCAGTCTGCTCTGTGCTTCTGCTATGTTTTAGACAAGTCGTTTGATTCAGGAGTCATCCCAGCAGGAGCTGGAGCTGCAGGCACCACGTCCGCCGTTCCTGGACGACAGCGAGGAGCAGAGCCGGCGCTCCTACAGGTACGCACGCTCCTCCGGGTGCGCACGCTCCTCCGGGTGCACGCGCTCAGACTGCAGCCCGTCCTGCTGTGCCCAGTGCCCACCTGCACCGTTCCTGCAGCTTCACAAAAGCTCTGGGAAACAGGGCCTGTCGTCACCCCCATTTTATAAAGAAAGTATCTGAGACAAAAGAGACTCACTTGCTAAAGCTTCTACAGCTAATAAGTGACATGGGCAGGGTTTGGATGCAGCAGCCTGTACCCGTAAACTACTCTCCTGTAGCTTCCTGTCCCCACTCTAGGCCGCTGTTACCGTGTTTTCAGAAATAACTTGAATTTATATCGTGCCTTTTTGTCCACGGCTCTTTGTGTGTTTTATATATAACCTCCTGATACTTAAGTCACACTTCCATTTATTCAACAAGTATTTGTTTGTTAATGTTTACTTTGGGATTTTGCATGGGTATTTTTAAGTGAGATTAGTGTGATATTTTCTTGTGATTCCTTTGCGACATCTGCTTGGGCCTTCCTGGACGTCTGGCCATTCATTCATTCCCCATTTGTTCATTCAACATTTATTAAGAACTTGCTGCTGTGTGCCGAGCTGTGTGCTCTGTGTACCTTCCTGTCACGGATTAAAACCTGGAAATGGAAAAAATAGGGAAATAAGATGGAATAAGCTTTAAATAAAATTTAAAAAAATTTTTTAATAATATGTGAATAGGAATTTTGAAATTTATAGTTGTTTCATCCTTAATTTTAATATATTTCATAACAACTGAGAGGAAAATAACACTACATATTTATATATTATTCAAAATAGCTCTAGTAGCATCTGTTTGGTAAAGTATTTTATCAACTAAAGAGTATACGAACTGACATTTCCAAGTGTCTATAGACTCAGAGGTCATTCTGACCCTAATGCAGCGGAAGGGTTCGCAGTGTCTTATGACTTGGTAAAGAAAATAGCACGTAATAAATTGTTGAAAGGAATAGTTTGTAGTTAATCAAATTTTATTTCTCCTGGAGAATTGCTATAGGTTTTACTAACTTTGAAAGGATAAATATGTTTAAGGGACAATCTGAGCAGAATTTGGTCTAACAAGCTTTTCTTGCTAGTATTTCACAGTGTTTTAAGTGTCGGAGAGCAACCTGGTTTCTGCAACACTTATGCCTGGTTGTTTACTGATTGTTGGTGAAGAGCGTTTGCTTTTCTTCCCTTCTCAGGTGTTGCATTTGTGATCATGCTGTGAATTAACGTGGTCTGTGTTGTGTGTATAGATGTGACTATTGCAACAAAGGCTTTAAGAAATCCAGCCACTTGAAGCAGCACGTGCGGTCACACACCGGGGAGAAGCCCTACAAGTGCAAGCTCTGTGGACGTGGCTTCGTTTCCTCTGGGGTCCTCAAGTCCCACGAGAAGACACACACAGGTCATTGTCTGCCTCGCACTGGACGTAAACACGTGGAAAACCATACGTGATTCTAGAGCATATGAATTCTAGCGCACTTTCATCACACCCCTCAGGGCCCCCCAGCCCCAGGCAACCACTGCCCTGTTTCCTGTCTGTGTGGATTTGCCTGTTGCGGGCTCTTCCTGTAAAGGGAACCATACGACACGGTGCCTTTTGTCACTGGTTTCCCTCACTCAGCACGCGTTCAAGGTCCACCCACGTTGTGGCATGTGTCACACTTGTTTATATAGCCAAAGAGTAGCCCACTGTGTGGAGAGACCACGTTCTGCTTGTCCGCTCATCAGCTCTCGGACAGCTGAGGTGTGGCCGTTCTTTGGCTATCAGGAATAATCTTGCTGTGAACGTTTTGTGCGTTTCTGTGTGGATGCAAGTTTTCGCTTCTCTGTTTAGGAGTGGACTTGCTTGGTCATACGATAACTGTTTAAACCTTGGGGTTTACCAAACCAGAGTGGCCGCACCATTTTCCTTGTCCACCAGCAATGATTTCACATCTTGTCAGGGCTTAGTATGATCTGTCTGCTTCATTATGACCGCCCATCTTCTTAAAATAATCTCTTCTTGAAAGAACCTCAATTCCTAAAAATTGGAGACCACAGCAAGTACATGCTCTTCGGTTTTGCAGCTTGTTGAGCGCGTCTTTGCTTTGATTGCGTACGGTTTTCAGGTAACGAACGTGTTCTGACCCCGTCTCTGCTGTCGCAGGAGAAAAGGCGTTCAGCTGCAGCGTCTGCAACGCTTCCTTCACAACCAACGGCAGCCTCACCAGGCACACGGCCACGCACATGAGCATGAAGCCCTACAAGTGTCCGTTTTGCGAGCAGGGCTTCCGAACCACAGTTCATTGTAAAAAGCACATGAAGAGGCACCAGACGGTCCCCTCGGCTGGGTCGGCACCGGGAGAGGCAGAAGGAGGAGGTGTGGTCCCTTTGCTGATTCAGGTTTATCATCAGCCGGTGCTGAAACTTAGTGATTAACTCATTTCAGAGGTGATTTGTACCAGTATATTAACTTACTTCATTTTCTGATTATGAAAGCAGTCATAATTTGCTCTTTGAAGAAAGATTCAGGGAGGCACGAAGAGGAAAACTTCTTACCTCACTGGTCACCAGGCACCAAAATACCAGCATCCCCGCACAGGGCAGGCTGTCGCCCACGCATGCACGTGTGCACGCGTAGGTGGACCTGAATTCCCTAATAGGAACTCACGTTAAATGCAGTGTTGTCGTCCATGGGTGTTTATTACAGGCGAATTTGATATTAGTGAGCATGGATGTACATCAGTTCTAACAACTGCACGGAATTCCATTGTGTTTCATCACACAGTTTCCTGTTGCTGGATGCACAGTGGCTGCCCAGTGCTGTAGTGTAACAGGAAGAGCTGGCGGTCAGGGGGCTTTAACCCTCGACGCTGTGCTTATTCACCACGCACATTCTCATCTGATCGACACGAGATACCATGAAGCTAACTTAAACGGTAGACGAGCTAATGGGCCCAGTTCTCAGGAGGATTATTTTGTGCTTATACTTTTTGTACCTATGAGATGATTTCTTTTTAGCAAGTTCCAGAGTGAAATTACGGTGACAGAACGTGCACCTTGCATAGATTCTGACACAGGGCGCCAGTGCACAGCGTTTTAAATTTTTTAAACGACCTTGTTCCGTATGCAGTGTGAATTATGCTGTCGATAGTTTATACGGTGTCCTGCGGCCTGGGCTCCTGTCTGTGCTGCAGCCGGCACTGTGCACCTCACACCGTTGATGCTGGCAAGAGTGAGCGTGCCGAGATGGGGGTGCGACTTAGAGGGCCATCCGTCGGTTTTTAGTTCACTGTTTTGGCTCTGACCGCCGTCCGTTTTGCTATTTAGTGTCTCTACTGTTTTTTTAAAAAATTTTTTAGCCATCTGTGCAATAATAAAGTCCCCCTGTCCCCTGTCTCCAGCCAAACCTTTTTTTCCTTCTCGGTTACATTTTAACAGCAGCTTATTCTTTTTTTTTAATGGATGTAAATACATCCTTACATGTCACTGAGAGAATACTTAAACATACATATTTTTTTAAGTGTTTCTTTCCTTTCAGTAAGTCTTTTTAATTGGCGGCTGTTTGCTAGTTATCAGTTTGGTCTCTTCCTTCGGGCTGGTCATCTTCTTACGCTAATTCACTTTGTGCCCATGTTGATAAATGAACGTCTGTGTGTATGAGTCCTGTTGACTCGTGCGGACACTGACCCTTTCAGAGCCCACTGCTGGCCTGCTGGCAGGGCTGGTGGAGACCGTCAGCCACGGCATCTGCCCTTGGCAGTGACCCCTCCCCCAAGGCATGGCCTTTCCACCCTGACCAGCTTCTCAATAGACAGTGGTGGGGAAAAACCCTTTACCATCCCAAATATAGCCTCATTGAGTTGCTAATTTTAACCTTACATATTTAAGTTAAATGTTTAGTTTTAGTTGTTCTGTTACAACTTATTTTTTTATTAGGATTTGATCCTTTTTCCTTCATTTTGTTTAGAGATGGGTCTGGAGGAAGAGGAAGACAGTTCTGAAAGAAATGTGTCCCGAAAGGCTCGTCCCGAGGTCATCACCTTCACAGAGGAGGAGACGGCGCAGTTGGCCAAGATTCGGCCGCAGGAAAGTGCCACCGTCTCAGAGCAGGTGCTGGTGCAGTCGGCCGCCGAGAAGGACCGCATCAGCGAGATGAAGGACAGGCAGGCAGAGCTGGAGGCCGAGCCCAAGCATGCCAACTGCTGCTCCTACTGCCCCAAGAGCTTCAAGAAGCCCAGCGACCTGGTCAGGTGCGGTGCAGGCCCGCTGCCCTGCGGGTGGACGTGCGGTCTGTGCGCCCCTCTGCAACCTGTGCTGTGGTGTCTGAACCTGGTGCCTTTTGAGTGGCCCCTTCCTTTCCTGAGTTATGGTTTCAGGCCCGTGTGCGTTTTGAGGCTTCCTTGCAAGCTCATTGAGCACGTTAGTTAGAAGTTTGCTTGCTCTGTGGGTTGCTTGTGCTTATTTCTGTGTGACGGTGGTAGCAGTAAAAGAGAATTAAAAATCATTTCCTGAGGAAGATGCGGCGCTGAGCCCAGCCTTGTAGGCGCACAGAACAGCAGCGGGTTCCTGCCCGCCCCGCAGGGCGACCGCTCTGTATGGCGTGAGGCTCGATCACACGGGGAGGTAGCCCGAGCGCTGGGGGTGGAGTCCCTGTCAGCCACGAGGCGGTGATTGATGTGCGGTCTGGCAGAGTGGCGGCGGGCAGCTGAGACAGGCTCCAGGAAAGGCCGAAGTACAGCACTCTCTTAAAGCATTTGGAGGTTTTTCGTTTACGGGGGGGGGGGGGGGGGGGGGGGGG